ATGTAGTATGGATTGAGGTTGAGGAGTTTAGCGTCATCCAGTATGGATCTAGGCTGAACAATTTAAGGTCATGCAGTATGTACCGAAGCTAAGCAGTTTGGGCCAAGCAGTACGGACCATGACTGAGCAAGTTAAGGTCATGCAGTATGGATCGAGGCTGAGTAGTTTAGAGTCATGGTGTAAGGACCGAGGCTGAGCAGTTTAAAGTCATGCAGTATGGATCGATGCTAACTACTTTAGGCTCATGCAGTATGGACCTAAGCTGAGCAATTGAGAGTCAGATAGTGTGGACCGAAGATGAGCAGTTTAGCGTCACGTAGTATGGACCGAGGATGAGCAGTTTAGGGTTATGCAATGTGGACCGAGGTTTAGCATTTTAGGGACATGCAAAATGGACCGAGGCGGAGCAGTTTAGGGTCACCCAGTACGAACTTAAGCTGAGCAGTTTAGGGTCATGCTTATGGACCAAGGTTGAGTAGTTTAGGGTCATGCAGTAAGGGCCGAGGTTGAGTAGTTTAGGGTCATGCAGTTAGGACCGAGGCTGAGCAGTATAGGGTCAAGCAGTATGGATCGATGCTAACTACTTTGGGGTCATGCAGTATGGACCTAAGCTAAACTATTTTAATATTGTCATCTTCGTTTTCATTATTATTACAACTTATCAATTATCATCTTCGTCCTCATCACTATCATTAAAATAGATGCAATGCTCTTCCTAGGCGCACTCGTTTATCCCAAAATTGTGCTATCTTTTACACACACGTGTATATATATACACATATGCTTACTTTTTTATATAGGAAAAATATCTCCATATCCTCTATTTTTAGGTTTCATTTCTTGATAAACCGAATGTTTCAAAAAATATCTTCTAACCCCTTGCACTTTAAACATAATTTTTAACCTAAACAAATGTGAGAAAGACATGTTATTTCTAAACCCAATATTTTTTCACTCTTCACTTATACATATCCTAAACTTCTATGTTTCTCTCTCTTTCTGTGTTTCTCTCACTCTCTCTCTTCCCAGTAACCTCTCAGCTCCATGAAGCCCTCTCTCTCTCTCTCTCTAGAAGTTTGGGATGATGGCTTTTAGAAAAGACATGTTTTTTTTTATTTGTTTTGCCTAAAGAAACATGTTTAAATTAGCTCAGGGGGTTAGAAGAAATAAAATCTACAATTTTTATGCCCCAAGATATATTTTAAAACCTCGGGTCTATTGTGAAATAAAACCTAAAAGTCTATTGTGAAATGTAACCTAAAATTGTAGGGTATGGATATATTTCCCATTTATATGTACGACTACATTTTTCCGAAAATATAAACAACATCTAGGGTTGTTGCTAGGCACGTGTTGCTAGGCACGTGTTGCTAGGCATGCCCCAGTGGTTTTGTGACAAATATAGACTCTTGCCTTCACTTTCACCATTACTCCAATCCTTCCCCCACACATATGCTCACCATTACTTAAACGTTTTCCATGTCCAATGGAGAGAAATCAACACTTTATTACTATATTACTATTATTGACCTCGTGGTTATTATAAAAATTAATGCAATGATGTTTGCAAGTCCTTCCCTCTCTAGCCTGGAATGGCATTCTCTCTCTCACACATGCGTATACATGCTTAGGCACATATTCTTTTATATTTATGAACTATTTTAATATTGTCATCTTCGTGTTCATTGTTATTACAACTTAGCAATTATCGTCTTCATCCTCATCACTATCATCACTATCATTAAAATAGATTTAATGCTCTTCCTAGACACACTCATCATCCCAAAATGGTGCTATCTTTCACACACATGTAAATATGCACATATGCTTAACCTTTTATATATAAGATTACATTTTTCTGAAAATATAAACATCCTATAGGGTTGTTGCTAGGCACCCGCAATTATCATCTTCTAGGGTTGTTGCAGGCATGCGCCTGTGGTTTTATGACAAATATAAAGTCTCGCCTTCACTTTCGCCGTTACTCCAACCCTTTCCCCATACATAAGCTCACCACTACCTAAAGGCTTTTCATGTGCAATGGAGAGAAATCAACACTGTCATTGCTACATTACTATTATTGACCTCGTGGTTAACATCAAAATTAATGCAATGGAATTCGCAGGCTCTCCCCACCCTAGGAATTCGCAGGCTCTCCCCACTACCCTAGAATCGTTCTCTTATGTGCACATACACAGACACACGTTGGCACCCACTTTACCCTAGAATCGTTCTCTCTCCCATGCACACACACATACAAGTGTGGGCACGTGTCCTTTTTATATTTATGGTCATTTGTCCCAAGCTTTTAGAAGTTTTTTGGATTGCCAAATCTTCTTTCTAAACCCAGCAGCAAAAGTACATGCGCGCTTGCAATTCACACACTCCCCCCCTCTTTCCACATGCTGCATACCAAACAAGAGACTCCCCCCCTCTTTCCACATGCTGCATACCAAATTGGAATTTTGATCGAATATTTAGGCATTCGCTATAAAATCACCAGATGGGTAACTAAAGAAATTGGAATTTTGATCAAATATTTAAGGATTCACTACAAAATCACCAGATGGGTAACTTACGAAAAGAAAATAGGATTGGTATACTGTGGAGTTCACATTGGACTTGATCAAATATTTAGGGATCCACTGTAAAATCACCAAAGGGGTAACTTTAGAAAATAAAATAACGGCTTTTTAGTTCTTAAACCTTTGTTTTGGCCATATACAAATTGGTCAGTCATATTCAATGTTAGGATGCAACGTTTCTCGGGCCCTTTTATCAAATATTTAGGGATCCACTGTAAAATCACCAGATGGGTAACAGTAGAAAAGAAAATAAACGGATTTTTAGTTCTTAAACCTTGTTTTGGCCATATACAAATTGGTCAGTCTACATTCAATCTTAGGATGCAACTTTTTTCAGGGCCTTTTATCAAATAGTTAGGGATCCACTGTAAAATCACCAGATGGGTAACTTCAGAAAAGAAAATAACGGATTTTTAGTTCTTAAACCTTGGTTTTGGCCATATACAAATTGGTCAGTCTATATTCAATCTTAGGATGCAACTTTTTCAGGCCCTTTATCAAATATTAGGGATCCACTGTAAAATCACCAGATGGGTAACTTCAGAAAAGAAAATAACGGATTTTTAGTTCTTAAACCTTGGTTTTGGCCATATACAAATTGGTCAGTCTATATTCAATCTTAGGATGCAACTTTTTTCAGGCCCTTTTATCAAATATTTAGGGATCCACTGTAAAATCACCAGATGGGTAACTTTAGAAAAGAAAATAACGGATTTTTAGTTCTTAAACCTTTGTTTTGGCCATATACAAATGGGAAAAGTTTGTTTTGGCCATATACAAATGGGAAAAGTTTATATAGAGCCCAGCCGATGCTCTAAACAATCAAATTTGAGCCTACCTCAAAAATTTCACTAGAAGATATTTTGATGCTCAAATATCTTCAAATTGATCATCTCAACATCAAGATGCATGAACATAGAAAAAAATGGATTGCAAGTTTTGAAAATAGTGCATTTTATAACATATTTTTAGACCGTCAATTTTCAAGATTTTCAAATTTTCATAGATATGTCGACTACACTATTTTTGAAGCTTTAAACTTTATAATTAATACAAAAATGTATTTTAAGGCTATCACAAACATTTCCAATATTAAAACCACATTTCTCGAAGCTATTTGAAGGTAGGCTCTAATTTGATCGTTTAGAGCCTAGGCTCTATACAAACTACACCCTATACAAATTGGTCAGTCTATATTCAATCTTAGGATGCAACTTTTTTCAGGCCCATATACAGTGAATATGAAATTTCTGTTTTCTGAGGTGGTATCTTGCAATATTTGCCAGAAGTTGAACAAACAGCCAACCCTGAAGTCGTGAAAATGGTGCCAACATCTATTTCTGAACATCAAATATGTCACATGACCAGGACGCAGAACCCATTTTCAAGTATGCGCAATAGGCATAAAGCATGAGCAGACAACTTACTCCGAAAGAGATTGGATCTCTTACTGACCTCGGGCACATGAAGAGAGATACATAAAAGAGTGAAAGAGGCCTCACATATACCTGTCTTTAAAAATCACGAACTCCACACACAGTCTTGGTTGATATGAGAAGATTCATCCTGGTGTGAGGCCCATTCCCATTTTGGGATCATAAGTTCATATAACACGGTACACAAAGCTGGCCCTGTTTCTTCAATAATAATTGCAACTAAATGGTCCAGGACCTGAGGGCTACCTAAGCAAACTCCCAATTGCTTAACTCATACTGTTTTTCAGAGATGGATTCAGTGCATGGGAATTTCCCCCACATTACCAACTACTCCTTTGGTTCTATTGTCACCCTCTATGTTATGCCAGTTATCATGCATCAGCACACGAGAAAATACCTAAAGAGCAGTCTAGAAATGAGAAACAAGGATTATTGACAACGTATTCCGGCCTGAAAATATATGTAGAACAAAAAAGCAAAAAGAAGTTTCACACGCAAATACAAATATTGAAGCAATTGAAATTAGAAGATGCAATGTGAAATGAAATAAAGAGCAACAATAATAGAATAGAAAATGGAAAAAAGAATCCTAGCCATCAGTTATGTAAGGTTAAGAGGAGAAATGCCTTATCCTGGTGCAATAACTGAATATTTTGTTGAGCTATACTATTTTCACTCGTGGCTCATAAGAGTACATTATACTATGATAGTTTTTAAGTGCATCGCATGCACCAATACTGCCCAATTTTTCTTTTGGGCTAAGCATACAGAAGTTGCATAAAAAATTTCAAATTTTAGATACAACCTTTGAAAGCCTTCCAACACAAACTTTACATAGCAGGCAAATCCAACTTGTAAGATTTCTCGTATCTTTGCCAACCATATCCAGCACACTGTAGCCTTCTTGAAAATACAAGTTGATATAACGTCATTAAAAAGATGCAATGAAGGAGAACGTCCACATTTAAACCATCCAAAGTGATTTCAAGCAAAAAGATCACATTTATTATATTGCGAAGTATAGGTAAACAAAGAAAGATAATGTAACAACGACTAATAGAAAACATATTCAAGTATAGAAAAGAAAGACAAGATAACAAAATTTTGGTAACCATGAGCACAGGATTACTTTGCAAATCCTGTGAAAAATCATTCTTGTCACCAAGAAACTGGGGCACCTTGCATCAATCATCTCCATTCATCATCATCATCATCATCAATTGTCTCCATCAAATCCAAACATAACTCCCTCACAAAGCACAATGGGCAACACATCCTATCTACCAACTCAATCTATCAACTGCTACTGAATGCATGATCAAAATAATAACGTCAACATTCTCTGGGATTATTTGATTCTTATATGGCATCTGGCGCACTTGAAACTCTTAAAAAACAATAACCCCTAAACAAAATCCTGTGAATTAGAAATGAATCCCTCCTCAAAAAAATGATGAACACTCCCCAATGATTCCTTTTTCTCCTTTCCACTTTACCATTTCCGATACCAGCTCTCCTTTCCAGTTTACCATTTCCGATACCAGAAACCAATCAATCATTCATTCATCAACTATGAATGGATCGCTACCTAGGCAATCAAGGGATGACTTCAAGTCTTGGTTCAAAACAAAACCCTGTGAAGAGCTGAAGGGGAAACCTTTTACTGACTGGACACTTCTGTGACCACTTCCATTGCTTAAGATTCATGTCAAATATAAGCAAAGCAGGTGCTCCATAGCTCTGAATGTATATGAGGTCATGAGTACCACTACTCGTGAAAACATCATCAAACTCACCAAACCCCTGAAAGAACTTGTGGGGCATCCTTGCAATCTCCTTCCAAACCGTCTTCTGAAGCTCCCATATCCCTATCCCCTTGATTATATCAGGCCTATCATGCTTCCCAATCCCCCCAACCATCACAAGCCTCTCCTTTAGGTTTATCAGCCTCCCACAAGTCAGAGAACAAGGCATTGGAACCAAACTCCTAACCAGCGATCTCCTATTGCTCGTGCCACAAGTAAGCGAAAGATCATATGATACCAAGCCATGCCTATTCTCAGAGCTCCCGACCACACTGGTGGAGTAAATGAGGCAATAGAGGATGCCATTGCAAATTACGCTCTCATCACCTCCACGCCATCCAACGAGGGACTCCTTGACAGGGGTGGCCCACATGGCAGTCCCTGAGTGGTAAACATGGATCGAGAGGTCCCACCGGAGGAAATCATCAGGGACCTGTTCCGACCTTACAACTGCCACAGTATAGAAGTTCCTCCTCCTATCAAGGGACAGCGACAGGGCCATGTAGTCAGAGGGCTTGAAGTCGGGGGCCGCCTTGAGATCCTTGCAAGCCTTGGTAATGGGGTTGCACACAAAGAGCTCGTTCTTGTTGTTGTTGTCCATGAAGCACACGAGACCATTAGATGAGGCCATGAACCAGTTCTGGTTCTGGATGCGAGGGAGGTCCAGGCTATACCATTTCTTGAGGATAGGGTCATAGGCGAAGCCTGAGGGGTCTTCAGAGCTGGTGAACATGAAGTACCATGGCTTTTGAGATGTAACTTTAGAGAGGTGCCATAGGAACCTTTCTGATTTCACAATCTCGAGCCACCGCTTGCAAACAGTCCCCGCTCGAAAGATGCTTGCCATGGGGAGGTTGGCGAGAATGCGCTCGAGGAGATCATCAGGTAACAGAAAGTCCAAAGACACAGACAAGGAATCCTTGTCGCTAGCCTGCTCATCCATGGTGCCATTCTCCACCTCTGAAAGAAGAGGAAAAGTTTGGTATTCTGGTATTACTTCCACCATTGAATCATTGATACATAAATCCGTGGTCCACGATGTGGTAGCCTCCTCCATTCAAACCCTAGAAATGTTCAAACTCAAAACCTGGATTTAACAGAACAAACTATCAACACACCCAAATCAAAACATCAACCATAGCCCTTTTGGGAAGGGAAAAAAAAAATCAAATGAAAAGAACCCCATTAAGAAGAAGGCACTGCAAAGCAATAAACCGACCCAGTTAGTGAACATTTCAAATCGAAGCAACAAACCCTCGCGATCCTGCCTAAAGATGAAAAATGAAAGAAACAGGAAAATCAACAAAATATTAGCATAGCACACAGGGAACCAATGCACGTTGCATTAAATCCCACCTGTTAAGAAAAAGGAAATACACAAAAGGGGCACTCATATAAAAAGATTTAGGTACAATAGATCCAACAGGGACAACCCACAAAGAGCTATAAAAAAAAATACCACATAAAGGGGAAGAACGCACCTCTGTAAGAAAAGCCCTGTTTATACAGATCTAGTATTGATTGTAACAGGCCTTTCTTCCTCTCCAACGGATTGGGGCTCCTCTTTTAGTTAAATTCATGAAACCCCCAGAAGGAATTGGTGGTGTTTACTTGTAGAGAGAGAGAGAGGTGGGGGGGAAATGAGGGCAAAATCGATGGTGAAGTGGAACGCATTTGTTTATAATTAATAGTTTTGGGTTTTGAAATGGTGGTGGGAAGCGCAGAAGAGAGAAGAAGAATTTATGAATATGGCCTACAAAATGGGTAAAGAGGTGGACAGGGCGTGGAAAAGAGAGAGAGGAGAGAGAGGTATGGAAACAGAGCGGTTTTAACAAACCCAGAGGCACGGGTGCCGTAAAAAATGGGAGGCAGTTTGCGTCGGTTTTCTTAACTGGGGGGCGGTTTTTTTAGTGCCTTCCAACGCTACTTTCATTTTCTTTTTTTGTTCACGGTGCCAATGAAGTTTAATATAGAGGGATGAGGTTTTGTACATATATCAACGATCTAGATTGTCCATTTTTTCTTGATCAGTGATTTAGATGAAAAAAATATAACAAAAATAAAAGAAAAAAGTTTATATGCTTCCCCTACACCACATAAAGTTCTATCCTCCCTCTGGCCTGCTTTCCAATTTTGATCAAAAGAACTACTCACTTTTGATCTTAAATCCGACGTCTTAAAGTATTTTATTTTTAATTTTTTTATACAAATTGTATGAATATGAAATTTGATACGTGTCATCTTTTTATTGGGGCGCATCTATAAAAAATATTAAAAGTAATTTTTTTATAAAATATAATGACCAAAATACCCTTTGAAACTTTTAGGGGTATTTTGGTCATTTTATTTTATTGAAAATATTTCTTTTATATTTTTTGCTAGTGCGAGTTTAATAGAGGAATGGACGTCCATAATTTGGTGTCAAAATAGTTTATAGAAAAAAAAATTCAAATTAAAATAGTATAGAGACGTGACATTGTGATTAAGGCAATCTTACCCCTCCATTCAAAATGAACGGTTGGATAAGGGGGAGGATAGAACTTCTATGCTATAGGAGAAGCATAGAAAGCTTGCCCAAAATAAAAATAGGAGTTATTGGGTGGGGATTTATGGGAATCCAAAAAAATAATAATAAAGTGAAAAAAAAAAAAAGCAAAAACTTGGTACGTGGCATTTTTGGGAGGGGGAACCAAGCATAAACCAATACCTTAATGGAATCAGTTCAGCCCAAGCCGATTCCTAATCCTAATCGATGATCCCCGATCCAAGCTGGTTTTTAATCTCTAGTATAAGGCTGGTATTGAAGTTAGGCGTGCCTCAAACCTATTCCCGAAATATGAAATTTTTGTGCAAAAAAGCCTTGGCATAAAGGTCTATTGTCATTCCTGATTATCAAATTTAGACCTCCAAAAATTATGCAAATTAAGTAGATTTATAAATAATTGAATTTTGTAAAATTGGGCGGTCTAGAAAATACGTTACAAGATGCACCGTTTTGTTGACTTGAAATCTCTCTTCTTCTTTTTTATTTTTATTTTTCTTTTAATATCTCTATCTCTTGAGTTGAGATGATCAATTTTAGGGTTTTTCAGCATCTTTTGAGCCGTCAAATAGTGATTTTCCACTGAATATGTATTTTCCTTGTATCACAAGTGAAGGTCTTATAGTATACCCCCTTTTTTTAAGGAAACTATACAATAAAATTCTTCAATTTTCGTATTGGAAGTCACAGTCATTATTTAATGTAAAATCTGGTGGGTGGAGTTGTGTCATTAACTGGGCACAACGTGCCAAATAGAATTTCTCAAACTATGTTCACACTTTAAGCTGTTGGATTTTACATCCATTGACTAAAAGTGATTGTGACCTCCCAAAAGTGAATGTTCTTGTAATATACAATCCCTTTTCTTATAGTGTAGGATTTTGGGTGCATGAACACTAGTGCCAGCCAATTCAAATGCATCTCAAATTAATTTTAAGGATGGGTTTTGGATTTCAAACTTTATATTCCTAACTTTTAACAACTGCCAAAAATCTAGAATGAATTTCCAACCTTAAAAGCAGTTTATGATTTTTCATCCTACATCCAAGAAAAGCCAAGTGTGTTCCTGGTTGGTGGATGTATAATAAACTTCTCTTGATTTGAATTTTAGATTTTTACTTGGTATGTCTAAGTTAGAAATCACTAAAATGGCCAAACCACCGCAATAAATCATTAAGGTTTTCAAATTAACCATTTTAAGATTAAAGAAAAGTACCTCATCAGACAATTTATTTTGAAATGCTCAAGTTGCCCTTATTCTGATTATATAACCCTTAACAAGAAGGTGCATTTCAACAAATTAGCCCACTTAAATGATTTGACTTGAATTTTATAAAGGGTGTAGTTTGTATGGAGCCGAGGCTCTAAATAATCAAAGTAAAGCGCACCTTCAAATAGCGTCAAGAAATGTGCTTTCAATACTGAAAAATCTTTGTGATAGCTTTAAATATATTTTCATCTCTAATTACAAAATTTAAAGCTTTAAAAATGGTGTAGATCGAGCAGATCTATGAAAACATAAAAATCATGAAAACTGACGGTCCAAAAATCCATTACAAGATGCACTATTTTTAAAACTTGATATCCATTTTTTTCTCATGTCCATGCATCTTGATGTCGAGATGATCAATTTGAGGATATTTGGGTATCAAAACAACCTCTTCTAGTGAAATTTTTTATGTAGGCTATAATTTGATTGTTTAGAGCCTCGACCCTCCGAAATGTCAATTGCCATAGGAAAAAGGGGTATTTGATATTTTAGAAGGGACAATATAATTTAAAACATGTTGAGACTCCAATTAAATGCTTTACCAAAGGACAACACATTTGGGGCCAAATTCATTTATGCATTCCGTATAATAGAAACACAGGTTTTTTATATTATATACTGGAAACGGAATAGTTCCAAGAGTTTAATCCCCTGTTACAATTTACATTGACCAAATAATGCGACAAAAGAAAATAAGGCCAACTACCCTTGATTATAGCCTCAAGACCTATATATTCGTTTCTGAAAAAACAAGACGTGCAGACATATAAAAGGAAAAAACATCAAATGGGATGTAAACCTATATACCTGATATATGGCAGGGATGTTAATCCTACGTTCTTGTCTCATTCAGAAAACAGGCCTCAAGCTGGTATTTCGGAGCATAGAATCAATTCCTTTCTCTTTTTTTAGGAAAAATATGTGAACCCCCTTCTCATCTAATTCGCCTGGCTTTTATAATCTTTTTCAGATGATCATGCTCAATCTCTCTTTGATAATCACCAAATATCATCTCCATCGTCGATTTCTTGATAATGTTTATCCTCTTCATCACCTTCAGGCTGGATCTTTACTTTGTCATTATCTTCTATGTGAATTTGAATTTATGAGCTGATCTTCTAGTTCAAACGAATGGATTTCATGGATTCGAATTTGAACTCAAGGCTTTACGCTACTTTAAAATCGTCGGTAAATCTCTTAACCCCAATCTCAATCACACATAAACTTTGAATTTGTGCTTATCTCATGCGGTCAGCCATTAAACTTATGTGAATTCAAATTCACGCCCATTTGACGTGGCCAACTATCTCTCCTTTGAATTTTAAATACGCAGCCTTGCAAATTAATCGAGCTGTCTGATGAGAAAAACTATGACATATCTTCCCTTGTCATTACTCATTGGTTCGCCTGTCTGTTCATCGTGTTGATTATACTTTATTTGCTTGTATATAACATTTTCGCACCTTTTAAGGGTAATCGGATCCAGGATCCAATGGTCATAATTTCTTGGGAAATTGCTCACATTAAGGGAGAAATTACAATATCAATAGTCGAATGTGGTTATGTCTGAAAGGCACGAGACATGGCATTTTAAAGCTCCAACAGTCGAGCTATCTAGCTCCTAACTAATACGAAACTTGAAGGTCACAATACTTGGACATGGTTTGCAGAGAATCTCGATTTGGTCTTGAAGGCATTGAACTTGGGGATGTCAATTAGGGCATATCCGAACCAACAGTGAATAGTTTAAGCCAAGTCCAAATATCGTCCAAGCAATATCACCCTTGGACCTTAAGGCACATGAGGCCTTAATAGATATATTTTAGGAACTCATCTCAATATATTATGGCGAGGTTTCCTTTATGCTCGTCAGTCAAAACCCCGTTATTTCAACATATGATGGATCTTTTAAAGAGTCTCATCATATCTCACTCAAAACTCCTCCAATATCCAGTAGAGAGGCATTTTTGTGCCAAGGAATATATGTATTTCAGAGTTCCATCTTAAATAGAAACGTCTTCACGATTTCTTATCATTGATCATAAGTTATAGTACATGTGCATAACCAATGATGGATGTCAATATTAAGCCGTATTTGTTCCTCCACATATCACACAGATAAGTGTACATAGAGCCTTAGGAGTATATGCATCCTAGACCTGTCTAAAAAAGAAATGACTTGACAATTTATGTCAACTTTGAATATGTTTAGCTAACAGGCTTTTGACATTATCAATCGTGGGTTAGGACTTTTAAGGACTAACCGATGAGTCAAGATTCCCTAGGCATATCAAGCCTCTCATATGATGGATCTTGATCATATCATGTATTTGCATCACATGACGTATTTCCTAAAGCCTTGTATGAAGGTTGATTATCATATCAGTATCAGAACACATTTGGTCCTCTTATGTGATTGAAAATACACCCAACAAAATAGCACCGGGCGTTCCCGTGCATGGGAAAGGTCCCTAGAGCACGTAACGACCGGTGATTTGGGTGTTCTTGACGTCATTCCTCCTCCTTATGCATGTCTTGAAATTTTCTCAAACATTATTTATCTCGAAATCCCCTGAATTTATCAAAACACAAATAGCTATTTGAATCATCATTTCCTCATGTTCCCAAGAAACAACCCTTCAGATCCCTCACGAAAGGCCTATAAATATGGGATAGAAAGAGGATATCTCGCATCTCATATCTTTAACCATGGTATCCCTTAAGTTCCCTTGTCACTTGGAGACCCATCTCAATCCTCACCTCATTGCCTCAATTTTGGGCAGTGAAGAACATTTTGTTAACATCCCTCCCTCGATTGCTACTAAAGGGGGAAGTAGCTGCAAACGTCTTGCAAACTCAAATTCTATGAGCATCTCATCTGAGGATGAGGATGATGCTCCTAATGCAACATGCAACATTTGAGGCAGGCCTCATGAAGGACCTTAAGTCCCATCATCAGGAGGTGGTGTCTCGGCTACGTCGGGATGTGGAGCATTACCGGAGCACGTCAAACTTCTATCAAGGAGAAGCCGAGCATGCAAATGAGGCCCTAATCTCAATGAAGAGAAAGTTCACCAGGGCCATGGAACTAATTCACTTAAGGGAA